AATGATGGACAGGAGGGATTTAGCAGGCAACAAGGCACAGAAGAGCGTGCCAGGCATGTAGTAAATGTCCAAATATATCAGTAACAATCCAGTGTTAGACCCTCCTGAAAAAGAATCAAGGAATACAAGGCAGAACAAAGAAGAGAGGGTAATAAATCTTAATTAAGGATCACTGGTGTGCCAAGGATTGAGTGAACATTTTCTTTTTTTTTTTTCAAACTATTTTTGCTATTATTATTATTTTTAATGAAAAGATGGAATTGGAGCTAGGAGCTCTCTCTCTCTCTTTCTCTCTCTTTTTTTTTTTTTTTTTTTACTATTTATTTATTTATTTGGCTGCGTCGGGTCTTAGTTGCGGCACATGGGATCTTTTGTTGTGGCATGCAGGATCTTTCGATGTAGTGCATGGGCTCTTCACTGTGGCATGTGGGCTCTCTAGTTCTGGTGCAAGGGCTTAGTTGCCCTGCAGCATGTGGGATCTTAGTTCCCTGACCAGGGATCAAACCCGCGTCCACTGCATTGGAAGGCAGATTTTATTTATTTATTTATTTATTATTTTTTAATATTAGGTTTGTTTTTAAACATCTTTATTGGAGTATAATTGCTTTACAATGGTGTGTTAGTTTCTACTGTATAACAAAGTGAATCAGCTGTACATACACATATATCCCCATATCCCCTCCCTCTTGCATCTCCCTATCCCACCCCTCTAGGTGGACACAAAGCACCGAGCTGATCTCCCTGTGTTATGCGGCTGCTTCCCACTAGCTATCTATGTTACATTTGGTAGTGTATATATGTCCATGCCACTCTCTCACTGGAAGGTGGATTCATAACCACTGGACCACCAGGGAAGTCCTACTAACATTTTCCCTAGAGCGTTCAGAGGAAGATTCAAGGAGATGGCATTTATTCTGGTCTTAATGGTAGAATAAAATTAACAGGTGGAGGAGGAAAATGAAGTTATGCTGGTTGAGAAAACTGCAAAAGGCAGATGAACATGAAAGTGCATGATCACCTTTTCTCTTCTATTTACGTTCACACTCTATAGATCTTTTCCAGTCTTGTAGCATCAAATAGCATTTGTAGCATTTTAAGTAGATATCTCCTTAATTTAGACCAGCCCTGAATTCTCCATTGAGCCGCCCATCTGTACCTCCAGATGTTTATTTGAAATCTCTACTTAAATGTCTTACAGTCACATCAATTGTTTAATGTTTAATACTGAGCCTCCTGACTTTCTTTTCCAAACCTGTTATTCCTCCAATTTCCCATCTCAGTTATTGGTACCATCATCCAACCAGTTGCTCTAACAAAAACCTAGGAATTATCCTGGATCCCTTTTAGCTTCAAGAGCCGTGTCTAATCCTTAAATGAACACTCTGACTCCACTCAAAAGCACATCTCAGACCTGAATAATTAATTTCCTAGATCCCAGTGATCATTTTTGCCATATTCTCTTTGGTCTCTGTTTCTCCTTTGCTCCTCTACTATCCATTCTTCACTCAATATAGCCCAAGCTATATTTTAAAAATCTAAGTCACATTATATCACTCTTTGCTTTAAACTCTTCAGTATCTTTTTTTGTTTTGTTTCTAGAACTAAATCTTTGCCTAATCATCTAGCCCCCATCCAGCTTGCCAAACTTACCCCTAGTGTTAACTCACACTACCTGCTCCAGCTGTGCTGTTTTCTTCCCAATTCTGAACACGTGCAAGGTCATTCCCACTCAATACTGTTGCACCTAAAGCTCTCATTTCCTGAAGTGATCTCCCTCATCTCTTTCCATGGTTGTCTCACTCTCATCTTTCAAATTTTAATCCAAATGTCATTTAAAAATATGCCTTCTAATGGTTCTACACAGATTTTTCTAAATCATCACCATACTTATTTCCTTCTTAGAATTGAACATGTAATATTCTTTTCATTCATTTACTTGTTTATTTTCTCTCTCTCCGAAACTCCCAGCTCCATGAGGCAAAGGCCTAATTTTTCTTTAAGCACCATATCCCAAGTACATAGCACAGTATCTGGCTTAAAGCAGATGCTCAATGAGTATTTTTTTGAATGAATTAATGCCAAAGTCAGTAGTTTCTTAAGACTGTAAATAAGGGTTTGTAGAATCAGAGACATTACATAAAATAAGGATTGAATTTGCTTTGATCATTGGGAAGTCACTGGCAAGAGTAGTGAACTGGGGTGGAGGCAGAGGTAGGAATGTCATGGGTGAGGACTAAAATAAGAGATGTGAAATTGGAGAAGAATAGGTATCATTGAAAAGGAACAATGAAGGGTGTGGTGCTACAGTCTTGGGGGTCTAAAGAAAGTCCTTTAAAATTTTTGTTAATGGGTGAGATTTGTGTAGATTTTCATGTGAGGAGAAGGGAGCAGCAAAGACCAAGAGGTTGAAGTTACAGGGGAAAGAAGGGTAGGTGATGGAGTAAAGGTTATGGAGTTGGAATTGGGGAATAGGTTCTGGAGCCCAGGTGAGGGTTGCCTTGGAAAGAAGGAAGGACAGCACTTCCTCTGAGGAGCAGGACATCAAGGAAGGAATCTTTTAGGGTCTGCATTTCCTCTGATAAAACCGAAGAAATAGAGGGAGGTATGGAGTTTAATATAGTGAATGGGTTTTGAAATACCACCGTGAGCAATCGAGAGGCACTGGCCAGGAATTCATAAAAGGAATGCTGATTGTCAATAAAGATTCAGCTGAAATCATCAATTTGGTACAGTTGCTGTTGGAAGTCCCAGGATAATAAATCACAGTTTCTGCAGTCTAGTGGGAGAGAGGAGCAAGGATACTAATTAGCAAAGCCTTGTGGTGAGGGCTGTACTAGAGGAATAAAATTATACGACCGGAACACAAAAGATGATGGGGAAGGGCTCGTAGGTTCTGGTCATAAGATCGATGGCTATAATTGAAGCTTTTGGAGTTGGAGCTGTTCACCATGGTGGTAGAATCCTGGAGGAGGAGGTAGCTCACTGGAATAGAGGAAGTCATAGGACTCTGAGTTGGCAGGTCAGAGGGGCTTCAGACTGAAGTTGCGTAGGAAGGTAGAAGGAGTTGTTCTGGACAAGAGGTTCTGTGTGGCTGTGACTCACGTATCTGAATTCTCAATGAATATTTGAGAATGACCTGGAAGTCCACACATGCCAGTGATAAGGACATGTAGAGGGTGATATAGCCAGATATTGTAAACATCAAAGGAAGAAGGCATTGTGCATGAGAGGGACAGCATCAGTGTCTCAAAGTAGCCATTAACAAGGAAGAAAATGCCCGAATCATTCTCCAGCCTCTACCAGAGTCAAGGATGGAAATAATTGGTCCTGAGATGCCAGGAAGCCTCAGGTGTGATATACTTCTAGGGCCTGCACAGGACACTGCACCAGATGGTGTCAGTGATCTGAGGACACCAACAACCTGGGGTTGGTATGCTTGTTGTCAAGGGACTGTCAGCAGAAGGACTGCTGACTTCCCTCCAAGGTCAGTGCTGGGAGTAAGCAACATTATTGGTCTGTCAGAACCCAGAGAAAAATGCCCTTTAATCCAATATCTGTTCTTTTGAAGTATCTTCTTTTTCCCTTTGATTATGAAAGAAATATATATTCATTGCCCAAAATAAGGTAACACAGAAAAATACAAAGAATAAAATAAAGATCACTTATAAACCCAGAGGGAGATAATATAATGGTTGTTAACATTTCCATATCTGGCACTAATAGAATGCCTTGGCATTTATCAGTTAGGACTCTGAAATATCAGTGTTTCCTTTTTCTCCCTTTCCTACCCTTTCTTTCACTTTCCATCTTGGTGTGCTACCTTTCTAGCTTCATCTCTGTTCTCCCTAGATTCTGATCTCCATCATCTCTGGAGTAGAATCACTTTACCTTGGAGCCATCAGTAACTCATTAAGCATTGAATGGATGTCACTGGTGTGACTGCTCGTGTTGCAAGCCCTGCCACAGAGTTGCTATGGCTGTGGCCATGGTACTGGGATGCCTCTTTTGGTTCTCCCAGGTGTCAGAGCCCATGCTGCTGGGCAAGTCTGGAAACCACTTGGCTTTTCATATTCATTTCTCAAAAGAGAAAATGCCACCTTGGGGATGAGGCTAACCCATACTCTACCAAAGCCCCTCTGCTGGTAGTCACTCACTGCCATTCACCATTAAGGTACTGTTTTTTACCAGCAAGAAACCACTCTCTTGACCCAAACACAACATGGCAGGCCAGAGCAGTTGAATGGTCCTCTGTCAATTAAACATAAACTTCAACTGCCCCATCACTAAGGCAATAATTTTTTTAGCCCCCTAAAAATAGCTTATGTGTGCTTCAGGTTTTCTCATTCTGCCTCCATTCCCAGAAAAAGGAAGTAAAACATGCCTAGTGAGGAACAATGCTTTCACCTTTTTGAGCCTGATAAATCTGTCCTTCATGTTACCACATGAGTCAGAACTACTATTTATCACAACCCTGCTAATTTTTTCTTTTCCTCCTTCCTCCCACCTATCTCCTACCACTTCCCCAGAAGCATAAAACTTTCAACATCCTGCTGTCCATTAGCATAAATAAACTCGTGCTTTTAAAGTAAAAATAGGTTTAATGCTATATTTGTTAAAGACTACATTACCATAAGAGGATAAAAATATTCTTGAGTAACAGGTAGATCATATACTTTAGAGACAATAGCATGCTTTTATTGTGGTTGCCTGAAAGCCGATTATTTTAGCCATAGATTAAAACCTTAGGTCTCAGCACAAGTTACATTTCCACTTCAGAAACTGTTAGAACATGCAGCTTCTCAGGACGTGTATTTTTGTGTTTTAACTTATGTTTTCTGTTGCCAGTACACTGTAGGCAGATCTAAGAGATAAAAAAGATGAAGGGTCATTTAAATTCAATATTTGCTATATGAAACAATGGATAACGTTGTTATAACTTTGTTCCTTGTTTTTAACATACCTGTTGTTAATTTAAATTTTATGTGATATTTACGCAATAGGTAAGAAAATACTGGGCTAAAAGAGAGCAGAAATGGCAAGAAATGGAAATGAGAGATCTTCAGCGTCTGGAAGAACTGAAGAAATTAATGGCTGAACAGTCAGTAAAAGACAGAGAAAGGTAAAAGAAAAAATTTAAGTTGTGTGGTAATGGAATTCTGTAATGTGTTAGGTGAATGGAGTCTTCCGTAATGTGTTAGGATAAATAATATCAGAGGGAGCATTTTTCTATACTTAATGTGTCCTTACAATATTTATATTCATAAATGAATAAAATGATACTTATAATGTATTTTAAACTCTCATATTCATACATGAATCTCTAGTTTTCCATTTTGTTCCTTAGAGAGCTTCCTAGTTAAAATCCTCACAGAGGATTTCATAGTATTTGATTGCCCACTGTGTGTGTGAAATAATACTGGCTGCTGCTGTGACTTAATATTTTGACCCAGAAGGAGGAAACCATTATTCAGATAAAAAGCCATTTACTACGACTGAGGCTGAGGAAGACAGTACGCAATTATTCTGTGCTCTGTGGTATTCATTCTAGTATACTTAAGATGTACCCAACGGTATAGGAAAAACCTGAATTCTCTAGAATAACGCAATTTTAGAGCTGGAAAGGACATTTGAGATCAACTAATCCAGTTTCCTCATTTTCTGAATGAGTGCACTGAAAAATTAAAATTATTTTTCTCAAGGTTACTACATCAGTCAGGGTCAGTGAGGAGACAGAGACAACATGGTAATTAGGATAGGGAAAGTTTAAGATAAAGAATTATTAATTCTAACAAAAAAAATCTCTGTTTTATAAAGGGATAAAGAACTTTAAAGAATGCTGCAAGGCTGAAGGGAGGGTTCTCATGGAAGGAACAAATTTGGAGGTGGGGCCCCCCTCTCTGTGGTTGGGATTCAGACCTCAATGTAGAAGGTGTGGTGGTGGCCCGCCGCATGGTGGAGAGGTTCTTGGATGGGCTCATCCAGAACTTGTTCCTAGTCACGGGGCAAGCAGGCAACACCCTACCTGCGTGCAGGAGACCGAAGCTGGAAGTCAAGCGTTGCGATGCTTATGCCTGCAAGACTCAGTGGGAACCTGACCATGGGAGTACCTCTGAAATTTGGTGGGAAACTGTCCCCGGGGTGCAACTGAACTCCACAAACACCACTGGGTGTCCCCCACGCATGCTGCTGGTAGCCACGAAGCAGGAACAAGAAGGAGTAAACACTGGAACTAGGAAGGAAAAAGCCCCTTCCTTCTTCAGCATCCCTCCTGTACCCTTTTCTGACATGGCTAAGCATTGTACCAGCTGCAGAGAAGAAATAGTTACAGGGTCCAGCTCTGTTTTCATAGAGCAGACAATGAAGGGAGATTTGGAGCTGGGAGACAATAAAGTGGTAACTGGCATAGTTATCTAGTTTAGCTAGCTCCTAAGTAGATTTTCACAAAAGATAAATTAAAAATAGATCTTACATTTCATAACATAAATCACAAGTTTTCTTTACAGTTCGTCAGTGTAAAAAAAATTGCACGGAACTCTTTATACTTTCTGCTCAATTTCGCTGTGAACCTAAAACTGCTCTAAAAAATGAAGTCTACTAAACTAATAAAAATTGCATTTTAGGCTTATCGTAACTTAGGATGACATAACTATTGTACACAGCAAGGTTCACTTATATCTAGGAAGCTTCCTTTGTGACCCATGGGAATTATGTCAAACTCCAGTGACCAAGCTTGCAGAGTGAATCTGTGGTTCCACACAGATGCCATGCAGTTCCCAACAACTTTCTGGATAAAATTCACATGATTTTCCAGGTATCTCAGGATTTATAATTGAGTTTAATCTATTATGAAGAAAGCCAAGAATATAGCAAAGCTAGGGCTCAAGGCTAAGAGATGAAACAACCAGTGAGAAATCAGTTAAACAAGCACGAACCAAGATATAGGAGGATACCAGAAGGCAGGCCAGGCCATGGGTCAGACAGAAACAAGCAGCTAAATACTAAAGGCAAGGCAAATGTGGGGGTCAAAAGGCTGGTTGGATAGTCTGAAACTACACTGGGGAAACAAAAGAGAGCCACAGGAATTAAAGGGGTAGGTAAAAAGGAACAGATGTGAAGTCCCAGCATCTAGGAAACATGCTTCTAGTAAAATCTGCCCTCATAGCCAGGAAGTTTCTTTGATTACAGAGCCATTTCAGTTGTGTGTTTCTTGTCCCAATAATTATCAAGCTGACTGAGCCTCTACGAGGCTCTGTTTTGTCCTTTGTAAAATTGAAGTGGATAACTTTTGAGGGCTAAGTGAGCTATCAACTTTTAAGGGTTTATGATCTGTTTATTCAACTCATATGAAATGTTGTAGATTCAGATAATTATGAATCCAGCGCTTGCATGCCAGTGGGAAATCAGTGAGGAAGGCCATTAAAATATCCAGATAATATATCAGAAAATAATTCTCAGAAAATTTTGGATGATATTGTAGATGAAAGCACAGTCCTCATTTTGTGATTTAGAGAGATGGAATTTAACATGCAAAAATGCTGATAGCTTTTGCTCTGACAAGAACCAGAAGTTGTGTTTGTTTGTAACCATTCTGATGCTAAGAAATGTGATTGATTGGTTAAAACGTATTTTTTCTACTACTGAAATACAATTCACAAATCTCATGTTTGATATTTTAGCTGTAGGCACATTTTTCTCATGTCAGAATAAGAAGTCTTGAAGCAATTTCCAGATCTGTTAAAAACACACATACACATAGCCTTGAGGGTTTGAAAAGTTCTGTTGTTTATTTCCTTTTTCTGTTTTCTAATTCTAAGATTAAGTGTCTTGAAAACAATACTCGTAAATTAGCACATACATCAGGTTGAATCATAAGGAAATTCCATTTTTGTGGGTCAACAAATGGTTACTTATTGGCAGTCTTATGAAGTTCAACATAATAAAGAGATATAGCAATTCCTTTTATTTATTAATTAGATTTCCCATCTCAATCTATTACAAGCTGTCTTTTGCCCTCATCACTTTTTTTTAGGTTAATTAATTAAGTTATTTATTTTTGGCTGTGTTGGGTCTTCATTGCTGTGTGCAGGCTTTCTCTGGTTGCGGCGAGCGGGGGCTACTCTTCATTGCAGTGCGTGGGCTTCTCATTGCGGTGGCTTCTCTTGTTGTGGAGGACGGGCTCTAGGTGTGCAGGCTTCAGTAGCTGTGGCATGTGGGCTCAGTAGTTGTGGCTCATGAGCCCTAGACTGCAGGCTCAGTAGTTGTGGTGCACGGGCTTAGTTGCTCCGCGGCATGTGGGATCTTCCTGGACCAGGGCTTGACCCCATGTGCCCTGCATTGGGAGGCAGATTCTTAACCACTGCGCCACCAGGGAAGTCCCAACCCTCATCACTTTTTTAAAATTGTTTTTGCCAAAATTTCCACTAGCCTCCTAATGCCCTATTTTCCTTTCTCAACATGCCAAAGAGGTTGAGGCAGAAGACTCTAGAATCAGGTTGTGAACATTAGAATCCTGGCTCTATCCTTTATAGCTGTGTAACCTTTGGGTAAGTTATTTCACTTTTCTGTGCTTCAGTTTCTTCATCTGTAAAATGAAGACATAAATAGTATCTACGTCATAGGATTGTAACAAGGAGTAAGTGAGATGTTAAATAGAACACACTGACAGGAGGAACATAGTGAATATTCATTAAATATAATGATTACTATCAACTGACTTTTTAAAACATGAGACACCATCTAACGTAATTTGTTTTCAAAATATTTAAGTATTTAAGATATTTTAAATAAAACGTGTAAGAATGAGGACACTCATAAAAAATACAATGTTGGGAATTCCCTGGTGGCCAAGGGGCTAGGACTCGGCACTTTCACTGCTGTGGCCCAGGTTCAATCCCTGGTCAGGGAACTAAGATCTCTCAAGCCACGCGGCATAGCCAAATAAATAAAAATAAAATGTTAAGGTTAAGGAAACAGTGCCCCTTGATCACTAGCCTCATGCAATCTCTCCTCTAGAAGTTCTCTCTGTTATCAGTTGTTTAATACATATACATACAAACTATCTATATACACCTACATAAAAAATGAGTTTAAGAACAACAACAAAGACCCAATACATTTTACAATATAATACTATTGTATTCGCTCCAGTTGCCATAACAAAATACCGTAGACTGGTGGTTTAAACAACAGAGATTTATTTTCTCACAGTTCTGGCAACTAGAAGCCCCAAGATCAAGGTACCAGTATGGTCTGTTTCTGGTAAGAACTCTCTTCCTAGCTTGTAGACAGCTGCTTTCTTACTTTATACCTAGAAGGTGGGAAGAGAGACAGCAAGCTCTCTGGTGTCTCTTCTTATAGAGCACTAATCCCATCATGAGGGCCCCACCCTCATTACTTCATCTAAACCTAATTATTTCCCAAAGGACTCATCTCCAAATACCATTACATCAGGGTTTAAGACTTCAACATATGAATTTTGGAGGAACACAATCAGTTTATAGCAACCATTTGTGTAAAAACAAACAAACAAAAAACCGATTATGTATGTACAAATTACCTGTTTATTATTAAGTACTATTTATTGTTTCCTGCTAGCATATAAGGCTTTTGTGCCAATTAGAAAAGGTGCCCCTTTCCAGGGACAAAGTACATAGATCCCCTACAGGAAGCAGACAGATTAGGAAAAGACAAGACGCCCCTTCTGAACCATGGAACACAGCTTGACAAGCAGAGGCAATGCTGGACATCATACTCCCTTTTTACTCCTGGTTGAGTATCACTTTCTGCAAAGCACAAACTTCAGAATGGGTATCCCTGCAAATAGACCTACCCTGATTCTTTAAAAATATTATATATTATCCATGTTTCTTCTAAAGTTTAGCCATCTGGGATTTCTTTTCATAAAAGATTGGAGCAAAATGTCTTTCATATTTTGGTCTAAACTGATAGGTATCATGACACTAATTATTTAATGATTCATCCTTCTGCACTGATTTGAAATGCCACCCTTTATTATATATTACACTTCTAACTGTGCTTTTATATTCATATGGGCTCTTGATTAGATTAACTAAAAACTGATCTATATTTATATTTCTATATCAGTACCATGCTGTTTTA